AAAAGTATATGTGGATTTTAGTAGGTATTATAGATTTAAATAGAGACCCCAAATTTCAGCATCAGCTGCGACAATGATTTTATTAATTAATTAACTAATTGTATAAATATGTAATATGCCTAGCATTGTTGACACCATGCCGGGCACTAATACTACTTGTGCCAGTGCCTATGTAAGGCCCATTTATATTGTGTCTGTGCCCTAAAATTTAAAGTGAAGTTATTTATGCTTGTGCCTTATATGCCCATTTTTGAACCGGGTTAGCAGAACCCTAGTGCACAGGTAATATAAAAACCAATCGATATCTCAAAATTTCGTATATTAAACCAGCTTTTGGCTTCTAATAAAAAAAAATTCCTCATAAAATTTTGGTATAAACTAACCCTCGCCCCAATCCCAAACCCACCCTTACCCTAACCATAATCAAGGCTTTATTTTTTCGTTGTAAAAATTGGGTTGACTCGCAACAATGCGAATCGCGTAACCGCGTGACGAAGATCAACCTGGAACAGAATTTTTATGCCACGTAATGCATAAATGCAGGGCTAATCGTATTATGTATTATCGAGAGGCGTGTTGAGTGTGACAATCATTGCATATAGTAACATACTGTGCTGCTCTTTAAGGACATCAAATTAGTTTTGAGAGCTATGGCAGACTCTCTGGAAATATGGCTTAAAATTGGAACTTCAGAGAAATATATAAATGTTTTGATTATGCTGAGTTTACTGATTTAAAGAAAATCGGTCAAGGTGGATTTGGGGCAGTGTATAAATCCGAATTAAAAGGTCAAGAATTGACTGTTGCTCTTAAAACTCTTACAAACTTAGACAAGAACCTTAGTGATTTTGTCAAATAGATAAGTTTTAAGTACTTTAAATTTTTATATCAATGATATTTTTTTGACCTAATTTTTTCAAATTATACAAGCTTAAACTTCTACAAAAACTTAGTTTTCATCCAAATATTATCGGATTCTATGGGATCACAGTAGGTATATTGTTTTCTTTAAATTTTAATAACAAATTCTACAGATAAATATATTATGAATATTCATGTTAGTCGATTATAAACAATGGACCACGTAATGGATATTATAGTTATTTGCTAATGATGCAAATTTGCAAGAATACTTAAAAAGGAGATTTTCAAGCTTACAATGGACGGATAAATTAAGCATTGCTAGAGAAGTATCAAAAGGCCTTTTATGTTTACATACTAATGATATTATTCATAGAGATATTGTAAGTATTTGTAATTATATTTCATAGTCGAAATTATAATTCATAATCTTTTAATGAATTTTATTTGATAGCACTCTAAAAACATCCTAGTCCATGAAACCAAAATAATGATAGCAGATTTGGCTTATCCAAACATATGGATGAGGTATCGAAAACCTCGACTTCAACTATTCAAGGGGTCCTCGCATATATTGATCCTCAATGCTTTATAAATCCTTTGTACAAACGTGACAAAAAATCGGATATATACAGCTTTGAAGTTATTCTTTGGGAAATTTCAACTGGACAACCATCATTTCGAACATTTGAATCTAAAGTAGCAATTCCTATTCATATAATCTGAGGAGAAAGAGAAATACCTGATGAAAATACACCTCATCAATATAACCAACTTTATTCTGAATGTTGGGATACGAAACCTTCTATGCGTTCAAGCAAAAAAAGTTTTTGAAGTTTTAAATCAGTTAATTTCTGATGAAGAAAAAAGCATGGATGATAAAGACTTAATCATCATTGAACCTGATTTTGGATGGGAAGAAGAGTATACTATAAGAAATCAAAGAGAAGAGGCGAAGGAATATTTTAATACAAGAAATTACACCAAAGCATTAGAAATTTGGGAAAGTAACATCATGAATTCTAATCATACACCAGAAGATCGAGATCATGCTTCAAAATGGACTCTAGAATCGCAAATGCTAGATACTGAATCAGCAAAATTACTAGCAGAGGCGCTTCATTGAATCTTAAAAACAATCAGCTAGATTCAGAAGCAGCGAAGTTGCTGGCAGAAGCACCTTATAAAAATACCACCCTTACCTCTTTAGATCTAGGATGTAATCTGCTTGGTTCTAAGGGAGCAAAGCAATTAACAAAGGCACTTGGTTACAACAACACACTGGTTTATTTTGATGTCTGTGATAATCAATTTGGTGAAGCAGGAAAAGCATTCGCTGAAGTTTTTTACTGCAACACCACTCTATCCTCTTTAAATATTCATAGCAACCGTATTGGAGATGAGACGTGAAAAATATTATTAGAGGCAATTTGTAACAATGCTACGTTGACCTCTTTAGATATTAAGGTTAATAAACTTGGTAACAAGACAGGAAATGCATTGGCAAAAGTCCTATATATACATAAAACACTGACTTCTTTAGACTTTAGCGGAAATAAGTTTAGTGATGAAGTAGAAAAGGCATTGGCAGAGGCTCTATGTAAAAATGATACTTTAACTTCCTTAAGTTTTTGGAATAGTCAACTTGGTCCTGAAGGAGGAAAAACATTAGCAGAGGTCCTTCGCAATAATGTTACCATAACTTCCTTGGATCTCCGCAATAATTAGTTTGAAAATGAGGAGGGAAAAGCATTGGCAGAGTCTCTCAGTAAAAACAACAATCTAACCTCCTTAAATCTTGAAGGTAATCAACTTCCCTAAATGGGGTAACGAATTGTCAAAAACACTTCTTAATCACAAATCCTTGAAATCCTTAAATCTTCGTAGCAATCAACTTTATGATGTAGGAAAAGAGTTAGTGGAAGTGTTTTATAACAATGCTACCTTTATCTTACGATCAATTTGGTAGCGAGGCAGGAAAAAATTTGCTGAGGCTTTTTCCGGAAATAAAAGCTAATCTCTTTAGATTTTAGTGGGAATAGATTTAGATGATGAAGTAGAAAAGGTATAGCAAAAGCATTTTTCAAGATCCCAACTTTAATATCTCTAAATCTTTATAATAATAAACTGAATAATGAGACGGGAAGACTATTAGCAGAAGCTCTTGATGGCAATATCACGCTAACATTCTTGAATCTTAGAGCCAATAAATTCGGTGATGAGGCTGGAAATGCTTTAGCAAAAATACTCAATAATAACTATTGAAGCCAATAAACTTGGTGATGAGGCAGGAAAGGCATTTGCAGATGCGTTCTACAAAAATACAACCTTAACTTCCTTAAATCTTAGTAATAATCAGTTGGCAATAAGGCAGGAATAGCGTTGGCAGAAGCTCTTTACAATAATAAATCCCTGACCTTTTTAAACCTTAAAGGTAATAAAATTGGTGATGAAACAGGGAAAACATTTGCAAAGACACTTTGCAAAAACACTACCTTAACTTCGTTAGATCTTAGAGTTAATAATTTTACTGATGTGACAGGAAAGGCATTGGCTGAATCTCTTTGCTACAATACAACGTTGACTTCTTTAAATCTTAGCGGAAATCAGTTTAGTAATGAAGCAATAAAAACATTAGCGGAGATTCTTTGCAAAAATACCAAAGCAACTTTTTTGCATCTTTGCAACTATAAGCTTCGAGGTAGGAAAACTATTAGTGGAAGTCCTTTATAAAAAGGTTAAAATACGTAGTATCCTTAGATCTTAGAGGCAATCAGCTTAGTGACAAAGCAGGAAAAACATTAGCAGAGTTTCTTGAAAAAATACCACTCTGCAATACTTAAATCTTGGGAATAATCAACTTAGTGACGAAATAGGAAAAGCACTAGCATTAGCTTGATTAGAAATAAAAAAAGTATTTTGACCTATTTGTGTCTAAGAAACAATAACGTAGGAATCGAGACACTAAAAGTGCTAGCTCGAGTTTTGGGAACGGACACTACCACACTAGCCTTCTTGGATTTGGCAAACAATAACTTTGGTAATAAGATAGGAAAAACAAAGAAGTTTGTAACTATACAAATAAGTCGGATATTGGATTTGGGAAAGAATTGGCTCAAGCTTTAGAAACAAATACGACCTTAACTACTTTGGATCTTGAGAACAATCAACTCAGTAATAAAATAGGAAAGGAATTAGCTCGGGCTTTAGAAAATAATCGAAAATTAACGGTTTTGAAATTAAAGGTAATCTATTTAGTGGTATAGTGTTAAATTCAGTTAATAAGCTACTTCAGAGAGATAATTCTAGCCTTAAATATAAAGTATATTTCTCGAAAGAAAATGTTTTTTTGAACTAATTAATTACCCGCACGAGATTTAATATTATCTTAAATTCATAATTTTAGTTTTGTTATATCGAAAATATTTTTAATAAAGAGTGAAACATAACTATAAAATATTATTATGGACTGCTAATATTTGTTTTCTATACTACAGTATTTAAGCTAATTTGTCCAACTACCATGTCAGGGCATCTCTAAAAACTCGTATAGCGACCTCCCCAAAATTTTCCGCACTCCGCTAATACTCCGATTTTTTGTAATTACGTTATTGATTTTTTGATGTTGCTTA